GGGAACACATCAACTGGTTGCCTCCCGCACGTGCCCTGACCAGGGCCGGGGATCGAGCCTGCGATGGAGGTTGTGCCCTTGGCCAGAATCAAACCCGGACCCTTCAGTCCACAGGCCGACGCTCCAACCACTGGGCCAAACGGCCGGGGCTAAAACGATGGACTATTTTTAGAGACGCTTTTAGGTCTGCAGACAAATTGAGCAGAAAGTACAGGGTCCCATGTTCCCCCCGCCGCCCCCGCGTTATTAATATTCCCCGTCAGCATTGACCGTGAACCCGTCGTGAAAACCACGAGCCGGCCTCACACAGGCGGCGCCGAAAGGAGGCTTACGGTTGTTGGTATGGAAAACGGTGCAGAAACTAACAAATCACGACGCAGGAATAAGCTGTGTCTCCCGCACGCGCAGCCGAAAGCTCCCTTCGCCCACCCGCGTTGCGACCAGGCCGGCAGCCTGTGAAGCGCGGGCCACCTGCGCAGGCCGGAGCGTCAGCACCCAGGTGCGCACGGCGGGACGTGGTGCCGGAAGGTATCCCGGGATGAGTTCAGATCGTTTTCTCAAAAACCACGTTCTTTGACCAAAATCCAATAAAGTTACAAATTATTATTAAGAAGCCAGAGAGAGAGCCGGTCTCCCCGTGTTTGGAAACGGACAGTGAGCTTCGTGTTATTTGTTGGTTGAAGAAGATCGACCTTTCTCGTCTGCCTTGTTGGGCCGAGGCTCCTTCGGGACCCTCTTTCTCTGTTCCCGTCTACGCGGCCTGGCGGGCGGAAGGCGCTCAGTCAGTGACCGAGGCTGTTTCTTTCCTCACCTGCCGCTGAATGGCTGTGCGCCCCGGACATGGCCGTTGCCCTCTCTGGGCCTCAGTTTCCCCACCTCAGCCGTCCTGCCTTCCTCTCTGAGACCGACAGCTGAGAGGAAGGCTGTGGCTCCTGGGTGGGGCAGGAGAGCATCACCCCCGCCCAGACCCAGGTCCTCAGGTGTGCAGACACCTCCTCCCGGAAGGCACCCCATGGCGTGCGAGCTGGAGCGAAGGTGCAGGATGCGTGATTAACTGCCCCCGGAGATACCCGGAGAGGGGCAGGATGGCTGGGTCCTCACCCAGTGGGGTGGAGCGTGGGGCGGAGACCCCTCCTCCCAGGGTCTCCAGAGGGCACGCTCCGTTCCGAGTGGCCCCCCAGATCCTGCCTCTCCCCACCCAGTGTTTCCTTTCTGGGCTGCGAGCCTGTCCCCCGCCTCCTGTAGGGAAATTGAGGTCAGAAGAAGACAGTGACCATGGTCCAGGGAGAGCGTGGCCCCGGGGACCAAGGGGGACAGTCCCTGGAGCTGTGCCGCCCAGTTCAGAGGCAGATGCTGGTCTCAGAGCTTTCTGGAAACGTGGTTCCCACACCCTAACCGTTGTTAGGAAGACCCCCTTGGCCGGAAAACCCAGACTGACCCCCTGCCCTGACCATCCTGCCGCTCGGACAATTCATCAACTGGAAACAGGAGACAGGAAGGGGGTTTGCTAAAAATGAGAGGTTTTCCTGGAATCTCGAGGGATTGGGGACGGGATGCCATCCAGAAATAACGGTATCTGCCACGCCCCGGCCCCCCACGTGGGGCCACCTGTATCCTGCCTGACTTGAATGGAAAGCCGTTTCTTTGCCAGCTAGGTGACGCTTACTGGTCCACAATGGGGCCTGGACCTGGCTTCTGGTGGCTGCAGGGAGGTTCTGGGCCAGCCTCTCGCCTGTAAGGGAACCCTGCTGGCTCCATTCTGCGTTTCCAAGTGGCCCCGTCTGTCAGCCTTCAGAGCCCTTCCTGGGTTTCATGAGCTGCTGACAGGGCTGCTTTATTTGATCACAATCCCTTTGCTGCTAACACTCCCAGGGGCCGTCCTGCCAGAAACCCTGACTCCACCCATGCCTCCCGCGGTGAACAGGTGATGTGGATGGCATGGCAGGCCCGTGGCTGAGTCGTGGCGCTTTCTCTGTAGGTGCTGAGGTGTGTGGGGTCAGCCCGCTTTCTCCTGCCCCATGGTCCCTGGGACCCTGAGCTCCGACTCCCAGTAGCTGAGCGCAGCTGAGTGTGGTCTGTGGTCATGACGTTGGTACAACGTGGGGACTCGGGGCTCAGAACCCTGTCTTGACTCCGTTAGGTCACCCATTTCCCTGTCCACTCCTTCCTTCATCCGTCCACTCCTGCATTCACTCGTTGCTCTTACCAGTGCTTGTAGCTCCGCACCTTGTGTGGGGGAGGCCACAGTCATGACGTGAACTCCAACAGGTATGAACGCAAATGCTTTGCAGGTGGTGGGAGGGAGGGAGAGCCGATAGGAAGGCTTCTTGTTGGAGGTGACATTGAAATGGGCCTTGAAGCGTGTGTAGGAGTTCACCAGGGATGCCCTTGGCAGGTGGGCAGTGAGGTGGAGGAAACCCTGCATCCCTATGTCCGCTCTCCCCCCAGCTCCCCTGGCTCCTGGCTCACCTGAGAGCGGACAGTCCCCCGGCATTGCTGCCAGTGTGTCACCTCCTCTCCCTGTCTTCCCCACACAGGAAGAGAACAGACAGATTTTGGCTCAGAAGTCAGCCTCTCAGTCCGACGCACACGACGAGGAGGCCTCCCCGACACTGCCGAACCCCGTGGTGAAAGCCCGCTGCCGCCGTGGGGGCGTGAGCGCCGAGGTGTACACAGAGGAGGATGCCGTGTCCTACGTGCGGAAGGTGGGCTCGGGGCCTGGGTGGGTGGCTGGCGTCATGGCCACTGCTGCCACCGGCCAGCACCCGTGTGCCTGAGGCGCTCATGTGGGGTCTCCCTGCCCCCTGGGATCCTGCCAGGCCCAGGGAGGGGACGGGACACTGGGCCGTGGCTGTGGGTGGAGGCTCCGCATCCTGGCTGTGTGGTTTTCGTTTTCCTGGCCTTCGAGCCCTAGAGGCTGGACCAACTCAGAGCCTGCCTGCTGGTCCCGCACCCCCACCCTGGACATCAGCACCCCCCC